ATCTCCGTTAACCGTTAACACTCGCGTTTTATGACAAAACGTTTTCTTTTTTCTTATTGTAAACAAAAAACTTTAAAAGAATAAATAATTTTTGTTACGATTTATTTATTTATATATATATATTTAATAATTAATCTAATCTTTTGCGTCGAACACATATGAATCCACACGCACGTACGCACACACGCACGAACGACAAAATTTTCTTCAAGGTTTAAAAAAAAAAAAAATCTAATTAATTATATTTTTTGTTGGATAAAATTCCATTTTGTTTTTTTTTTTTTGAAAATGTCTAGACTTAAAAATTATTTTCACCTGGAAGGGGGAAAAAAAATTCAAATCAAAGCCTGCCTTCATTTTCATCGTGTAAAACAAAATACATGTACCTCCTCCTGACGTCATCAGAATACATACGTCATCATAGCAGACGCCACCCACGTGATCAGAACATCATTCGTTGAAGTGAAGGAGAGAGAATAAGAGGTAAGATAATATTCTTTTGCCTCCATTTTTTTTTTTTTTTAAGGTCAAATTATTCGTTAACGATTTAAATTTTTTTTTTTTTTGGGGGGGGGGTTTTTTGGTTTTAATTTCGAACGGGAAAAAAATGTTTACATTATTTACATATAAATATTTACATTATTTTTAAGTAAATAATTTTTATCGACCTCGTTATCACCCTAATAAAAATCCGTTTTTTTTTTTTATATTAAAAGTTATTTTTAAAACGTCTCTTAACGATTTCTTTTCTATATTTAACCGATAATTAATAATAATAATAATGATAATAAAACATTTGGAAACCTTGATTTATTTATTTTCTTCTGCTTCATCTTCATTTTTTTTTTAACGGTTCCAGAAAAATTCACCTTCGACAAAAAAAAAAAATTTTTTTTTGTCATGTAATTGATATCTGACGTTTTGATTTACGTGAGGGCGAGGATTGGGAGGGGAGAGGAGGGAGGAGGGAGAGAGAGAGGGAGAAAAGGAGCCGAAAAAAAAAATGTCGAAGGTCAAAAGTCAACATTCATGTCAAGGGTAACAAACGTTCGAACGTTTTAAATTAAAATAATTTTTCTATTTTTTGCTCGTTCGTTCGTTCGTTACGACGTCATTATTTACCTCATGGAGAAAAAAAAAATTTTTTCGTATAAATTTTAATTTTTTTTTTTCTTTTTTTCCGTTTTTCAAGGAAAATTCGAAAATAGAAAGAGAGAGAAGGGGGAGAGAGAAAGAGAGAGAGATAAAATATAAATTTTTTTAGATAATTCCATAAATATCACATCGTTTTTTTATCGTGGAAAAGAAAACATAAA